ATTGACAGCCAAACAATATTGTCTGCTGGTGTGGACACTAATATAGTTATCGTTCTTGGGGAGAATGGACCTCGAAGGAATAGTCTAAAATGAAAATTATCCCTTAATTTACTCACCCTCAAGCCATCCTAGGTCTATATTACTTTCTTCTTTTAGCCAAAAACAATAACATTTTATGATATCCTGTCTCTTCCCAGCTTTGTAATGGCCTTGAAACTTGGAAACTATCCAATTTTTTGCGCTCCAAAAAGCACATCCATCCATCATCCATATGACTCCAGTGGGTAAAGCAATGATTTTTTTTTTGTTAGAAAAATATATCCCTATTCAAAACTTTATAAACTATAATCACTGGCTTCCAGCAACAGCCGTACGTGCGTTCATGAGAGAGTCGAGTTCTGGCAGAAGGGTGACCTCTGACCCGACGCATGACGTTGGATGTATGACGCAAGCGTAGCATAAACTTATGCAAGAATTTACGAACGAGGAAACACAGAGGATAGAGCTAAACAAAACGCCGTCACAAATTAAAGTCTTAAAAGAAAAATGTCGTAGGATTTCAATAGAAGAGAAGAGGAGCTTGAGTTTTCATACTTCGGGTCAGAGGTCACTCTTCCGCCGGAACTTGACTCTCTTGCGAAGCGTGTACGGCCATTGCTGGAAGCCAGTGATTATGGTTTATAAAGTTTTAAATATGGATATTTGTCTTACACAAAAACCCATCACTTCGCTTCAGAGGGCATTTATTTACCCACTGGAGTCATTTGGATTACTTTTATGATGGATGGATTCGCTTTTTGGAGCTTCAAAAACTCTATTCAATGACATTACAAAGCTGAGAAGAGCCAGGATATTTAATATAACTCTGTGTACGGATGAAAGAAGAAAGTCATATGCAACTAGTATTGCTTGAGGGTGAGTAAATCATGAGCTAATTTTCATTTTTTGGTGAACTATTCCCTTTAGGATATCTTGATATCTCCATCTGGATAGTCAGGGAAAATGTTGCTCTGGTGATTGTTTGTGAATGTGAATGTGAATATACCAACATGTGAGATTAAAGAAAGCAGAACATATATGATAAGACAGGAAGTTGTCGTCAGAGCAACAGGAAGTGGGCCTCTCAAAAGAGGGGAGGGTGTCTTAAAAGGGACTGAGGGGAATGAGGTAACATCCTGTGGAACATATTCTGTGTACGTATTTATGAATGGCCCACCAAATAAAAACAAGGACTGGTTAGGTGTCTAGTTTTACATCCGATTAAGTCTTCTGAAGCTCGGCAGATGTTTTTGATGCATTTCTGTCAGTCAACGTGTGTAAGTTCACTTCCCTTTAGAAGTAGAGTTAAACATTTAAGGAACAGAAAGAGTGACTGACATGCCCGCACGTTACACAACGAGTGCTGTGCGTGAATGACAGTGACTCAGTGTGTGAATGTCTGCTAGACTTGAAAGTCTGGAGTGTGTCTGCACACAGCCATCTGCGAGAAAACTTTTAATGTGCTCAGACTGTACAAATGTGTCACTGTGACATGTCAGGAAACACGAGTTCGCTCTTTCATCCTCTTTTACCATTATGAATACGAAGTACCAGAAATAACCTTTCTATGTAATCATCAAAACATCTCAGCTTTTCATTACTGGAACAGTTAAACCTTGAAAATCTCGGTCTTGTTTGTGTCTCATTAGCCCCCAAAAGTCCCCTCCTACATTCAAACTCCTCATTTCCTAGAAGCCAGTAATGCATTAGACACAAACAAAACAGGCACACTTATAAGTTATTAGTAACAAAAAAGGATCAATGACGAACAAGCTGGCTCCCGGATTGCTATGGCAACGGGTTGCTGTGTTGGAGCACGAAAAACACTAATGTCTGAAGCTCGACACATTTTGAAAAGGGATCCAGTCGAGCGCCATGGAGAGTCACATCTGGCATCTAAAACATTCCAGATTTTCTAATTGAAATATGATAAAAGTTACTGTCCATAAACAACTGAAAATGAGACTTTAATTTGAAGATGTTTGCCATACAGAAAAATAATCCCACCTCAGTCATCACGTCATGACGCATATCAGAGATGTGTGTGTTGCATCCCGGCTGCTCACTCTATCCAAAAAACATCTGACTGAGTCACAGAAACATGACTGATATTTTTTGTTTTCCACCACTCTCTCCCACTCTAGTTTCACTAGCCCTCCCTTTCTTCTACTCACTTTCCCTTTTCCCCTCACTCTGGTTTTCTGCCAAAAGCGTGAGATTACAGACCGGCAAAGTGACAAAGGAAAAAACAAGCCAGTCAGAAGGGAAAAAAAATGTGGCGTCAAACAGCATTAAACTCCTTTTCTTACTTCTCGTCTTTAATTACACCAACTAAGACTGACTGATCATGCTTGAAAACAACAACCCTTCACAGACTCGCACACTTTCTCTAGTGAAATTCCTACTACATCACTTCCTTTTACCACAAAAGTACTGTCCTGACATGGGAAAAACTCCCACACGCAACAGTTACGAGCTCAATGGAACGAACGAGGAGGATTTTACAACCTACATCTTTTTTCTTTCATTCGGCCAGTCCTGATATACCAGTATAACCACACTCACGCAAGCCCGGCTCACTTTCATCATCAAGGGCTGTTGTGATAAGCGTACATTGACTAAGCAATCCAACTGACCTACATGATACATCATCATTTCTTCCCATCACACACACACACAACCTACACCGTTCTCTTATCTCTACCTGTTAGGATCAAATTCACACCTTCTCGACTGTTATATCGTCACTCAAAATTAATGATGGGAAGATCGACTCATTTCTACAAATCGGTTCTTGCAAACAGTTCGTTTCAAAGAACCGGCTCAAACCACCGATTCAGCGATTCTGTCAGGCCATGACGTAATTGTGCTTCAAAACAACAGTATTGGACATCGCTACTCAAATGAAAGCTCCCCACTCACTCTCATACACAACACAAGTGTCTGGCCTACAGCTTTAACACGTTTACGCCGTCACAATAAAGGGGCAGTGACGTTGAAATCGGGCGGCTGATTCAAAACATCCGTCGGTCTGAGGAGGACAGTCTCAGCAGCTGCTGCGCTCTCGACAATTACACCCCACGACTTCAAAGCCACACAAACGCAGCCTCTTTGTTTTCATGTCAGTCGTGCTAATTGATCGGAAGTGTATCTTCAAAGGGATCTTCCTGTCCCCCCTCATAAACCCCTGTATTTATTCCACGGGTGTTTATGACCGCCTGTAAAATGCAGAGTGTCCCAACTTGCTCTCAAGCAACAAACACCTAACTTTTTCACTGTAATTTCAAATGCACTGTATATTCGACGTCAACACAAATAGCATGTAACAGTGAAATTTCCCCTGCATATTCCCTTAAACCCTGGCAGCGGAATATGTACAAAAAGCACATGCAAAGACTGAGAGAAAAACACCCCACCCCCAGGCAGGGCTGCAGGCTTGTTGTAGTAAAAAAACCATGCAAATTATTTCCTTTCAGGCAGACGCATTCAGTTCAGCACGAGCAAGGCTGACGCAATCCATTCAACTTTATGAGAATGACCAGCAGTCGAGCCCTGCCCTCACGTGTCAAACAAAGAGCGGTGGATGAGCACACCGCAATCAAACGGGTTAATGAAGTGATGCTCTTTTTAACTTATTCAAAAATAATTTAAATGATTTGCATGTCAAAAAAATAGGTGTGTGGAGATTATGGAATACAAATAGCGTCATTAACAGTTTGCCAAACTTTTGTTAATGATCCTTAAAATATGAAAGAGCAATTTTGTTTTAACTCTTTCCCCTCCATTGACGGATATTTCCTTGTTTTCAATGTTATACGATAGGGGGTGATATGACACATCTTCTGAAAGATCGCTGAATCCCCTGATCAACACATGCGAAACAAACGATCGCATATGTAAAATAACGCGATCATCAATATTAAACAGCATAACAATCAAAACTGCCTTGAGTTACTGAATGAAATGTACGCGGGCGAGGTATAGGACTGTGAAGCTTTGGGGGTGTTGATCATCGTTCTGAATCTGAATAGTTTTTCTCAGCTTTTTGCTTTTTTAATGAAACTTACCCATATTCCAAGTGTTGATAAAAAAGAATGCATTAAGCTAGAATAAAACTTTTTATATCTTTTTTTTTTTAAAGCAGAGGCTCTGGTCTGTTTTCCCCCCACATATTTGATGTTCAGATATGAACAAAATATTCTGGGGGCCATGAACATTTTTAAAAATGATCAAAAATGCTGGCAACTTTTTTTTTTTTAAACGCTGGTTGGGAAAGAGTTAAAATATGCAAGCCTTTTTGTTTTAAAATATTATTGACTAAAAATAAAAATCCAATTCAGTGTGGTTTAAGTAGTATGCAAACCGTTTTGCTGTCATGTGACAAAAATCATATAACAGATGACCTCTTTAGACACTCATGACTGTAACAAGGTCATCAAGATTTATATAAGATGTATATTCATTATTTATAATTTGATAATGTTATATATACATAGTACTTCTAAATTAAAATGTTTGTTTGCCACATCCCACTGAAGGGATGACCCAGGTCAGTTTACACCACAGTGAACCCAACCCCTTTTCACCCGGACACACGTGGGACTGAGACTCTACAACCTAAACAATTTCTTCCTGAACACAACACTGCCATAATTAGACAATTAAACGCCCTGCCCAAGAATTAAACCGTGCTTTGATTTGTTCAAAGATGATATTTGCCTAAAGACAAAAGGCCATTCGTTGTCTCAAAGCCATGAGGTTGTGGACAGTAAAGAGTTAATGCGCGCGCTGAACTTCCGGTCACCGTTACTACAACGCTTTCATTCACACAGACTGTTGCTACCCTGTAATAAAGAGTGAAATTTCTTTCAGTCACGGCCAACTCTCAACTTTAAACCAGTCACGAGTGTACCATGTGGATAACAAGTATAAAAAATTGAACAAAGAGACTCCTGACTTACCTTTAGTAGTAAAACTCGTTCAGCTTGCGTCTCCACTAGCGCTTCCAAAAGTTAGACGGGATCTGTTGGGGAACAAACGAGGACATCTTTTAGCTTTCCTTATCTGGGTTGAGTCCGTTGTTGTAGGAAACTAGAGAGGTGTCAACGTGTGAAAATGATTTAATTATGAGTGATCACATTTAAAGAAGCTTGAATTACAGGCGGAGGTTTTGTAATAAGCGCGGAGGGAATAAAATGCAGAAGCGTCGCGTCGAAGCTGCCTGGGAAAAAAACCCAACAACGGCTAAAATTTGTAAAATTCCTGTCAGTACCGGTGAATGTCGTTATCCGTGACTTCTCCTCGATGTGTAAAGGTATAGTTATCCCAGTCCGACCCGGCGGAATAACAACAATGATAATCCGCAAAATCGTTAAATCCGTCGGTTTATAACGCTTAAAATCAGTTGCGTCTCTCCGCAGAGGGTGTGTTGCTGATATTTTATGTTGTTGTTGTTGTTGGGTCAGTCTTCTCTCTCTGTAGCGAACACAGAGCTGTGTCTGTGAGTTAAGGCAGGGATCGAGTTGCGCTCAGCGGCGCTGGGTTTTTTAAAGGGACACACAGCTTTGGCACAGCTCGTGGCCGCGCACAGAGGCGCGCCGCGCACGCACGCTCTCCGTCAGCGCGCCGCCCCTCAGGCTCGTGACGTCAGCGCGCGGCCCCGGAATTCCCTGACAGCGCACTCGTGACTCTCACTCTCTCCCGGGACAGCAGTTCCACCTCCTTACTATTAATAAGGCTGACCACGATAATCACGCCTCATCATACAAAAAATGATCTACAAAAATGTTTTACCCAAGACTCCTCACCCATTCAAGCAACGTCATAAAGTACTTGATACCATATATAGCCTTAGGACCTTTTTACAGTCTATGCTTAGGACATGCTGTTCAGTAGATATGGGGCTAGTAATAAAAATAATAATAGTTATTATAAATTATTATTATTTGCTTTTGTAATATGTTGATTTTGTTGAAATATATGAAACATGTATTTATATGAAATATATTTATATATTATATAATATATATATTATATGAAAAATCACGCTTTATCATACAAAAAATGATTGACAAAAATGTTTTACCCAAGACATTCAAGTAACGTCATAAAGTACTTCATACCATATAGCCTTAGGACATGCTGTTCAGTAGATATGGGGCCGGTAATAATAATAATAGTTATTGTTGTTATTATTATAAATTATTATTATTTGCTTTTGTAATGTTGATTTAAATTTTATGTTATGTATGTAATAATAATAATAATAATGATGATGATAATAATAGTAATTAGTTGATTTTGTAATCCGTCGATTTAAATGATGCCATGTAAATAAAAAAAGAACAACAAAAAGAATCATATTATTATTATTATTATGACAAAATTAAAAGCAACAGAGTAAAAAAAACAACAAATTACAACAAAATATAGACTGAAATAAACTTGAATCTGAAAGGGCATGAGAAAACCTAGTTTTTAAGTTGAGAAACTAACTTGCAGAGAAAGACGAGACAAGAACTGTATTATCCATTTTGTGACCCGTCGATTTACATTTTATGCGTTTATCTAAATAACAAAAAGAACAACAATATCATTATTATTATATTACTATTATTGTTATTATTATGACATAAAATGAAAAGCGACAGAGTGCAAAAAACATTACAAAAAAATATAGACTGAAATAAACTTGAATCTGATGTTCAGATGAACTAAAAACAATAGAGCAACGACATTACAGGGTTTATTCAAGACATGAAAAAACCCTAGTTTTTAAATTGAAGAACTGATTTCACAGAGAGTGAGGAGACAAGAACTGTAAATCTAGAGTAAAAATAGGACAGACGTAACAAATGGACCAAGAAGTGCTGAACTAAAAAAAGAAAGGAAAAAAAGAGGGAAACAGCATCCACTATTTTCTAATCTGTTCACCAGTCACGATTTTTATTTTTTAGAAACTAATGCCATCTGCCATGTCAGGATGTTGACAGTGTGTGAGGACAGCGTAGTATGTCCATCTAATGGCGAACAGACGCGTGTGTGATCAGCACGTTATATTTAGCAAGGTTACATCAGTGGCACCGAGACAAAACAGGCCGGCCAAACCACGGGAGTGTGTCACGGGAACCAGGCCTCTTGGACAGCAGCGGAAGGACATCACACACAGGCACGCACGCACACACACACACACACACAGGCACGCACGCACACACACACACAGGCACAAACGCGCACGCGCACACACACACACACACACACACAGGCACGCACGCACACACACACCCGCACGCACATAGACACACACACACACAGAGCCGGATTAACGCAAAGGCAAACTAGGCACGTGCCTAGGGCCCGACTGGCTGGATGGGGCCCAGACAGAGGGCTACATTTTTTTTTTTTTTTTTTTTTTTTTACAAATGTCCTATCTACAATTTATTTCAATATTTATTAATTAACTAAAAATAGTGACGATGTTTATCTTAACCATAGACTGTTACATTACGTCACATTAACGCCAGCCCATCAGGTGCTGCGAAGCAAAAGCCTAAATAGGCACGCAAAGAAGCACAGCTCGTAATGCAGGTGTGTGCGTTGTCTTGTCGTCATCTATTTTGGAGTGATTGCAATGTATTCTAAATATAAACTTGTACTGTAGATCAGCGTCATTTCTGGAAAAAACATTCACCGCTTTATTACGAGTTTAAAAGAGCGCGAGCGTCATTAACGTGCCCAGACGCGACGCTTTGAATTTGCGCGTACAATGAATAACATCGCGTCGGGAGCTGACTAAAAACGCTACAAAAGTAAAAGACAAGACGTTTGAATTCAAAGTTAAAAAGCCAACACACTACAACATTTTTAAATGTTTCAAATAAAGGATCTCGGGTCTATCTTTTAAATTCTGCTGATGATTATACCCTGTCTGACATCAGCCTACTTACGCCAATAATATCAGTTTAGAATTTTTTTTCTAATCAGTAGCGATCGTGTCTTTCTCTTCCACTTCATTTGTGTATAGCATATTTAAGCTAGCAATGCAATGCATAATATCATATTAGGCCTACTTATATTAATAATATGACAATATCTGCATTCTGCAGTCGAATATTTATTAAATGGGAGGGGAAAATCCTGCCCATACCAGCTATGAAAAAAATGATAAAAGCATATATCACTGAAGTGGTATTCTGGAACTGTGAATAAATTGAATAAAACAGCAAAATAACAATAACAATAACATCTTCATTAAACAAAAAAGAGATTACCTTAGATGAAGTTTGATTAATATGTAGCCTACTGGTAAAAAGTCTGGACCAATTACTATTTTTAATGTTTTTGAAAGAAGTTTTTTTATTATGCTCTACAAGCCTGCATTTATTTGATCAAAAATACAAAAAAGAAAAAGAAAAACAGGAATATTCAGCAAGGATGTGTTAAATATATAAAAAGGGATAGTGAAGACTTTTTTAAACAACTTTTTAATAATAATAAATAAAAAAAATCCTGAAAAAAAGTATCACAGGTTACAAAATAAATATTAAGCACCATTTCTAACATTTGATAATAAATCAGAATATTATAACGTTTTCTGAAGGATCACATGACACTAAATTCAGCTTTGCATCACATAAATATATTTTAAAGTAGTAAAATAGGAAAACTGTTATTTTTAATTTTAATAATATTTCACTATTATTTATCTGTATTTTTGATCAAATAAATCCAGGCTTGATTAGCATAAGAGACTTCTTTCAAAAAACATTAAAAATATTAATGTGTCCAAACTTATGTACTGTGTAAGTAAAAACATTTAAAATTAAATGTTGTATAAATTAAAAGGTTAGGAATCATATTTGTTTCAAGAGTTTTTTATTGGGGGTGGGGGGCCTCCAACATGAATATTGCCTAGGGCCTCCAAATGTCTAGAACCGGCCCTGCACACACACACACACACACACCCGCACGCACATAGACACACACACACACACACACACACACACACACACGCACACACACATAGACACACACGCACACACACAGACACACACGCACACACACAGACACAGGACGTAAGCTGCTCTGAGCACAACGCCTACCAAAAACAGGCAAACGTCGACAACAGCAGATGTGCGTGTAACTTTGGGAAACAGTGAAGCAAATATTTTCTTCTTCTATCATACACAACCCTTATCACATTCAACACCACTGTATCCTTGCAATTTAGTATTGTGTGTGTGTGTGGGGCGATGACCACATAATAGGATACACCAGACAGGAAGAAGGGATATGACCACTGTGACCAGGGTGTGACGCCCTGTGATCTCTTTCTCTCACACACACACACACACACACACACACACACACACACACACACACACACACACACACACACACACACACACACACACACACACACACACACACACACACACACACACACACACACACACACACACACACACACACACACACACACACACACCAGATTCCAAGAGATATGTGCATGTTTTTGAGCACTTTAATTCCAGAGGGTTTGTAGTTCCGATTGCTTGGCTCTGGCCTTATAATCAGGGAGGAGCTCAGCTCAGTCTCCTGTTCTCACACAGCAGCTAAATATAGCAGCGTTCCCACGAGCACAGCACAATCCTGAACACACACACACAGAAATGTCAGATGTGCAATGGCAGAAATGAGTGGTGTGTGTGTGAGAACAGACAGCGGCCTTTAGTCCAACACTCTGCTCCCACTTTGTGGGCTCATCACTGAGTCAGCACTAGGGTGCACTATTTGTCACAGCTGCCACACATATACGTGTAGACGGATGGTTCATTCAGAGGGTTAACTCCCACACTACAGTGCCCACATCTACCCCACATACACACACCTATGAATTAACAGTCCATGCCAATTGGTTTAGAAAGTGAAGCCCTACACAAGTAGTAGGGAACTGAAACCGCCCTCTGAGGACATGCAGGAACAATATATAAAAATCAGTATTGCTCACTGCCGGGCCGTAAC